TCTGCATACAGGAGGGGATTCAATATGACAACTTTTTTACAAAAAATATACTTTTTCAATTTAAATTTTGAAAGTGTTCCGAAAATACTGACACTTTTATATATATCTTAAATTAAAGCTAATATAATGTACTTTATAATGGGAAAAAAAAATTTCGGACTTTATTTGGTCTTCACGGTGAAAATGGCTACCAAATGCTATTTTTGTATGAAAATTCTCGATTTTGTATTTTATNGGCTACCAAATGCTATTTTTGTATGAAAATTCTCGATTTTGTATTTTATATTTTTAACTTTATAATGCTATAACTTATTGAAAAGTGTATGAATCAACATAATTTTTTTATGAGAAATAATATTTTTTAATAATTCCTTTTTCATTCGACATACTTTATCGTAATTAGGATATTAATAAGGAACTAGCAGATCATGTAGCTTTTGGAATAAAACACCAATTTTTTTAAAATTAAACGCTGTCTAAAGATTTGCATCGAAGCGTTTTTTTTTAATCACTGTCAGATATCATTATACTTGATCCAACTATGCCACGTCACCACTGTGCTGGGGTTTTTTTTTTTAATTTTACAGTTTAAACAAAAATTTCAAAACAACCATTTTTAAGCACTTTAAAAAATAAAAGTTGTGTAGGTAGGTAGAAATTTTACCAACTCAACCGATCTTTACTAAACCAAGCAAAGTGATAGATATTTGAGAGGCTTCAAGTCACAAAATGTAACGAAAATATAACTTTACAAAGTTTACGTAAACCGAATAAAACTACCTTTATACTTGATATTACAAAAGATAACTATGGTATAAATTTGTCAAGAGTTTGTCAATTAGTTTATAAACTGAAGGGTTTACAAGTTTTTAAGATGTAAGTATTTAGATACAACTAAACTAATTTTCACAATGAAAATAATAGACGCGAATACCCAATTAAAAGAAATAAAGAAAAATATCTAAAATATTTCTATTTAGTATTCAGTAAATTTATGAGGATGATTTTTTTAATTTTTGTTGAGTACATTGCAGTTTATTAGTGATTTTTCATTTAAAAAATTGGAGTAATTTTTTCATAAAACTATAAAATTCAATAAAGTATTTCCCGATAATTTTAATTATGAATTCATTAAATTCTACAGAAAAAATTGTATTTTAACTTTTTGATATTAAGCCATATTAAATTAAAAAATAGTTGCTTATGATGAATCTTAATTGATAAATACATAATTTTTAACATTATTAACTCAAATATCTTATAAAGTAGTTTTTCTGACAAATTGATGTTTAGTTTGTAGAAATATATACATTCTTAGCTATCTATTAAAGACCGTAAAATTAAATATAGTATAAATATATTATTTTTAACGTAATCATTTAAAGTTAATATTTTATTATAATTCTGAAAAATCTAAGCGTATTAAATTTCTTTCAATAGAAATATATACTTTACTTGAAGCATGATATTTTTATAGTGTAAGCTTGTAAAAATGTTTCACTTTTAGTAATAAATTTTGTGTTACTGTGTTCTTAAAAAATCTTAATATTTAAATACCGACTAGACGGATCTTAATTTATTCAAAAACTATGTAGATTTTAACTCATCAATTAGTAATACATTTTAAAACTTTTATTTCATTAACCGACGAATAATTATTTTGTCTATACAACTTTTTCCATGGTTAACTAATTTTACTATACAGTATAAAGTAGGAGATACATGTCAAGAGATCTTTATTGTAATTAACAACTTCAAAAAACTAGACATCAGTCGTGTTTTGTTTGTCTTGAAATTTAACTAAGATTTACTATAGTATAATTTCCATCCATGACATTAAAAATGAATGAATAACACTTTCAATTAGCAAGATAGAAATTTTCAATTACTTTCAGGTACTTATTTGTATACATATATATAAATAATATAAAATATAATTTTATTATTTTCTAAGCCATATAAATAATTTAATTATGTCGTGTTTAAATGATTAAATAACAGCAATGAGATTATTTAGTTCTAGTCTGTAAGAATTTAAGAAACTAAATTGAATTTTAACTGCTACTATGATTTTTTAGAAATAGTTAATCTATAATTTCAGGTAATAATACAAAAACAACAAAAGTATTATAATTATGGCGTTTGGCGTAGTGGATTTCATAGTTTTTAGTTTAATAATCATTATATCTTCTGCCATTGGCATTTACTATCGATTTACAGGCGGCAAACAAAAAACTACTCAAGTATAATTTTCTAAATACTACTAGAATTTGTTTAAAATTCCCATGGTATTCTTCTTTTTTTTTTTTAGGAATACATGATGGGTAACCAAAACCAAAGTATTATACCAGTTGCATTTTCTTTATTGACCATGTATACATCTTCAACATCTCTGTTTGGCGGAAGTTCAGAAATTTATACACATGGCACACAGTTTGTTATACTATATGTAGGGTATATTATTGGAACACCAGTAATTGCTTATGTTTTCCTACCTGTATTTTTGAAAGTTGGAAAACTCTCCGTTAACGAAGTAAATATATAACTTATTTATGCTGATGCAAGAATAATTATATAAGAAAATTATTTCTTTTTTTCATTAAATAGACTTATAAATTTATAACGAATAAAACAATTTATCGTGTTATTTTTTAAAAGTAATACTAAACAAAAATAGTATTAAATTATAATGGTTGTCTTAATATGTTATAAAAGATTAGATATTAGTTTTCAATTCTCTTTAAATTTATTAAACTGCAGTTATAAATTGAAACTTGAGATACCTTTAAAAATAATTATAAATAAATTATGAATGAGCTATTTATAAATCGTTTGTTTGCCATAATAAAGATATTATAAAAAAAATAAAGATTTTTTTACACAAAACTAATTAAAAATTAAATTTACAATAAGATTATGACAAATTATGTTTAAATTTGATATTCCTTTACTAACTTATTTTAATGAAAGATGAATATTTTAATAACTTCTTTTCTACGTTCAGTTCTCACCTACAACAATATTACCATTATAAAAGTAGGAATTAATATAAGTATTTTAAATTATAATGACAATAATATCATACAACGTCACAACTATCACTAATGGTTATTTTGGTATGTTCACCTGTGCCATTTTACCAGTATAAAGAAAGAAAATAATATTATTATAATTCGCAAATAACTCAAAAATGACAATTCTTATGTTATGACATTATTATATCAAACAAACAAAATCATATTCTGTTTTGATTAATACATTGGTCGGGTTCACGAAAATAATTCATTCGATAAAAAGTTCTTCGTGTAAATTTGTGATTTTAGTACAATTATGAACAAGTATTAATTTAAAAATTATACTCTTGTATAATTATCTTATAAATATCTAAACTAATAAGAATATAAACTTGTAAAATAATAGATTAAAATATGATAATTATATTTATCCTAAAACTGACTAAATACTTTTTATAGAAAAAAAGTGGTATTAAAAAGAGTTAAAACTATAGACATATGCACTTGTAAGAGAATAATGATACTCAATATGTTCCTGCTTGCTATCATAATTTTAAGGCTACTTAAAGAGCAATCAGCTATAACTTTAGTTTTGGGCTAAAAATTTTTTTAATTCAGTGCTTTTAATGGCAGCGATATAACAAAATGTTCATTAAAACTATTATCCAAGGCTTTATTAAGCTGTTATATGACTTAGAAATTTTAATCAGAAAAAATTTAATAAATTTTACAAAATTTTATGTAAACTCAGAGTGTAAATATATACAGAGTGTTCAGTAAGTAGGACACAGGTCGATTGTTACAAACAGTGAAAACAATAGAAGACCGTTTCCTTATTTACTGAACACTCTATATAAGGTTCATAGCTAATTTTTCGAACATCATTGAGTTGTTTAATATCTGTCAAAACGACATACAGTGTAAAATTTATTTATTGTAGTATTTAGAGAAAAGGTTTGGAAGTCTTACGAGGACTATTATATCTCTATCATTCAGTATCCAAACTATTATTTACATGGGAATGATGCTATACGCTCCAGCACTGGCTTTAGAAACTATAGTTGGTCTTTCTCTTGAGTTTTCCATAGTTTTGGTTGGTTTAGTATGTATATTTTACTCAACAATTGGAGGTATCAAAGCAATTATTGTAACAAGCATGTTTCAAGTAATAAAATCATTAATTATTGTCTTTGAAAATTTGTACATGCATTTAATATATATTTTAATATGTTGCAGGTAATAATTATTTTAGGCTCAATATTAGCTGTTATTGCAGTTGCAATATATGAAGCCGGTGGTTTATCAGAAATATGGAATATTGCTGAAAAAGATGGCCGTATCGAATTAACTAAGTACATATTTAGAATTTATATTTTATCGACAAAATTTTACATATTATGTCAAAAATTACTTACTAAAATTAATGACAAATTTTACTTCCATTTGGCTGCAGAGACATGTCTTATTTCAAAAATTCTGATTATTTTAATGGTTAACTTAATAAAAATAATTCTTAGACAAATTACAATATTATGATTGATAGATTATTGAGAAATTGAACATTTTGCTTTATAATTTCAGTTTTAATATAGATCCAATAGAAAGACATTCATGGTTTAGTTTGGTTTCTGGAGGATTTTTTTTATTTTTATTAAATAATGGAATAAATCAAGCTCAAGTTCAAAAATATCTTACCATGAAAAACAAAACATCAGCAATCAAATGCGTTTGGCTTAGTTTACCAATTTTATTAATAATATCATATACAAAATGTTTCACTGGCTTGGCTATTTATTCAAAATACCATAATTGTGATCCAGTCAAGTAGTTAAATTATTTAAGTATACATACATGATTCTTATAAAATAAGCTCACGCAATAAATTTAAAATAAAATTTAAGATCTGGACGTATTACAAAAGATGATCAATTACTATCATTGTATGTGATGGATACAATGGGAAACATTCCAGGAATGACAGGCTTATTTGTTGCTGGTGTACTGTCGTCAGGGTTGAGCTCTGTATCGCCAGTTATTAATTCAATGGCTGCTATTTCATTAGAGGATTACATAAAAGTATAAACCTTTTTTTAGTTTACTTATAAACTTAGGATTAAATATTATAAAATACAAAGTGTAATTATTTTCTAGCCTTTAGTGAAAAATGAGTTAACCGATAAAAAAAAAGTATTTTACTTAAAATTGTTAGTTGTTGCTTATGGAATTGGGTTTATAATATTGGGGTTCTTCATCAAATACTTTGGATCACTTTTGCAAATGTCTGTAGTTTTGATATCAGTGTTTGGTGGTCCTATTTTGGCTGTGTTTTCGTTAGGAATGTTTGTACCTCATGCAAATGAAAAGGTTATTTGAATTTATTTGTCGATTATACATCATGAAGCTTTATGCAAATATGTTATTTTCAGGGCACATTAACTGGTCTTCTTATAGGGCTGATACTTTCTTCTATTATTGGTTTCGGTGGACCAAAACCACCTGTCAAATTTTTACACAGAAATACATATGGATGTTCATTATTTAATCAAACTGTTACTACAGTGTTAAATTCAACCTTGACAAATACAAAGTAATAAATAAAAAATTTTAGAGGATTGAATAAATCTTTATTTAATTTTGTTTTTAGTGTAAGGCCAGATGAAAATTATTTCTATATCTACCGAATAAGTTACATGTATTACATTAG